CTGTGTCCCTGAGGTTATTCCATAATTGCGGTGCCCTCCAACACACATTCATGGTGACACCATTTACTTCTGGTTGTTAGTCAGAAACTCCATCTAGTTCCATATTCCAACTACTGCCTAATACAAACCCCTCATCATTTTATCTGAATTCCTTTGTAGCAGAGCTCCAGTACTCTAACTGTGTACCTCTGTGTTATGGACATAACCTATGAGAAACATTGTTAATGCTATTTGTGCTTTTGCGCCCATAACTCACTAAGTTATTGACTCTGTTTCACAATTTAGCAAATATTCCCTGGATAAGTGGGGTTTTAAGCTCTCTAAAAAGGTTAGTCTCAAACAAAGAAAATTCTCCTGTAGTCCTGATAACTAGTCCTATACAGTTCTAACAAAGGACTTTACTATTTAAACTCTAGAAAATAGTTACTCTTGAAGTCCTGGTAACTGATGCTATACAGTTCTAACAAAGGATTTTACTTACTCTTGAAGTCCTGGTAATTGATGCTATACAGTTCTAACAAAGGATTTTACTCTTGAAACCCTGGAAACTGGAGTCACTACTGAAGTCCTGGTAACTGTCAACTGTTAAACCAGTCTAAATGTTCCTGAGATGCATGCTTTAGGAGGAGAATGTGCAGTTTAGTGGGCAGGCAATGGGCTATTTAATCCCTGGGTCTAACCTGAGAGGTAGTGTGATCTTGGAGGAGAAGAGAGAGAGGGACCCACATTAATGCTGCCGGAGTTATGAACTGCTTTCCCCTCCTGTTCCTCACATGTTCCATCATCATCACAGTAAGATAGCCGGGGATTGGATATGTATTAAAACTGTATAATTTCTGATATTTTTAATACTTTAATTCACTTCAATCGGTTAGATATCTGCTATATATTTAGTATAATACATATGCTATTTCAGTATTAATGTTCTGTCTGTGTTTAAGGTTTATTTTAATTTGTTATACCTTTTAACACCTTTTTATTAAACATTATTTTCTTTGCCAGTTTCCGAGTGATTGTTATGATTTGTGATTAGCTTCTAGGATATAACTCTGCCGAAATCTATTACAATTAAATCTGTTTGCTGTGCTTTTGGGTTAAAGTAAGTCTGCTAGTTAATTTAATTGGCGTTGTATAACACTATATTATTTGGGGGATTCCAGCTATGAGAATTCACCAAATGTTTAGGTAGCACATGGTCTACAGCCATCTTGGTACTCCCAAAGCACATGGTCTGCAAGCACTCTAGAACTCCCTAAAAGTATCTTAAGAAGCAAACGTATTCTTTGGTATAGTGAACCTAAACACTCCGCCATGTCAGCTCCATCCTGCTACCAGGGCACTCCTTAGACCTAGTCACTTGACTGGAAAACGGCGGTCATGTTGTCTCCCAAAAGCAGGCAGCGGTACTTGGTCGTCGAGTGTCTGGAACTCTAAGTCGGACACTCTAACCCGTGAACACCGGTAACTTTGTACCAACGCCTGCTTCTATTCACGACAAGCCAGGAGAGCGTTATTCTGTGAAAAGGTAAACACAAACTAGATGAACAATCGCTACCTATGAGCCAGAGGCACCGTTCGGTATTTTGTTCGTTTTGGGACTCCTGAAAGCTACCACTTTTCTCATGGAACTATTTTGGACAGACACCACATGTGCGGTTGGTGAAAACTTTACTCTGGTGGCGATTCGGCTGCATTCATGGGATCCAAACGCTATTTGGACACTTTAGGGCTCTCAGATCCAGGCTATCTGGGCATATAAGACTTGCGGGGGTCCCTATTAATATTATGTATGTTTTGGGGTATTTTATGTTTTCCCCATTGTACCTTTAGTGCATGAAAGATAATTAGTTTAAGCAAAGTACAGTTGTAACGGATCGCCTGGCACCCCGACTGGGTACCTCCGTTGAAGGATGCTCCTAGCGCTTCCTGAGGACTCCAAGCACTACAGCAGACACCAAAACCACCGAACCGTAGGAGCATATGAATGCTCTCAAGCATATGAATGCTGTAGACAGTTGAATAGGAACCATACGAATAGGTTTACTCTCCTAGCAGTCAAACTGGAACAGCATACAATAAATCCTTCCCCCAATAATGAGACGACACTTCACTTTGAGGGTTAAAACAGGAACTCTCTGTAATGGCCACACACTGGCTTTTATGCAAGTCCCCATGCAAGGGGACATCCCACAGGGTGGGACACAGTACAACCAATCGTTACAGGGGAACCATAAAACACACCCACATTTACATCACAATCCCTCCTCTCTGTCCAGGAGATAACTGTGAAGTAATCCAATTATCTCCCAGGACAGAGGCAAGACTCCATTAACCACACGGCAGTAACAATACAAGAAAAGACATAAAATTACATACAGTTACATTTATTCCATAAAACATAGACATTCTACATATCCCCAGATAGCTTAGATCTGAGTGCACAATACTACTGAATGGCACTCAGATCACATAAATACAGTTCAATCGCCATGGAGCCAAAGTCTTTCAGTATACGGCTGGGCTCCATGGCATAGCTATCTGGGGTAGCATGGCTTTAATAGTCTACAGAAAGGCCTGAATACGCTTTGCAGGGAAAATAAAAGGTTTTAACTGCCGGGCCATAGTCTAAAGGGAGCAGGCGAGCAACCAGGCTCCTCCAGTGGACAGTGGCGAGGCTGGTTTCGCCACAACAGTCAATTATCTCCAAGACACAGAGACGTCTGGGTGTGTTTTCCTATACTTTTGATGGAGGTCTGTGTATAAAAGTGGGCCATCTGTCCATAATAAACCATTCCAGTTGTACCCTTCATTAAGTCTCGACTGATGTTTGGGTATCACTTGATTTTTCCCACGACCTGTTTGGATTTCGGGAGAGTAAGAATTAGCGTACTATGAGAACAGGCTTTAATCACACAACCTTCTAGGAGTTCGGGAGAGTGTGAACGAATGTACTATACGAAGTACAAGGGGTTCGTTACAGCCTCCAACTACTGCCTTTCCAAAGGCACTTGTGGCTCACTAATATAGAATACATGTAACCTTTTTAAACATAATAAAAAAATCAACAATATATACATTTAACTACCTATTTGATTGCACTAATTTACATATCAGAATTGTGTAAATGTACACATTTCTATTAAGTCAGCAGAGGGTGCTGCAGAGATATAAAAACAAACATAGCACAGTTTGTAAATCGATTGCTACTGTCACAAGCTCCTTTTAAGGACTCTTGAGACCCAGCCCGTAGTCTGTGGGCAAATGGCTAGCCTTCAAGACTCTCCAAAAGGCTGCGGCAAGGGAGTATGTGTCACACCCTTCTACTTATCCTGAACACACTGAAAATGCCTGAATTATATGTGGATGATCTGTGAGCAATCATCTGCCTCATATCTGTCTCTCAGCATCCTACTCAGGTTACTCCAGACTAGCTTATGATGAAATCAGTTTGTTGTTCATGTTGAGCTGAATAATTGTGAAAATTCTCACCCTCTCCACGCACCCTACCAGCCTTTAACCGGAACCTCAATCAATACTCTATCACCCTAATTTCAAATGCAATCCCTCCACAAGCATGCTCCTGCGTAACTCCCCTCTATCATATCCCACTATACCTGCCCTCTGTTCCCACTCCTACACTTACCCCAAACTTGGTTTTGATTCTCATCCCTTACTATCTTGTACTATTGGAAGGAATTCCCACTCCACATTCATCCAGTGACCATTCTCCCTGATACCTCACCCACATCGCCACCTCCCCAAGCTCTAAAGCCATCATGTTATTTACAGGGGGAGTTGGGAAATGCCCTATTTTCCCGTTTGCTGATGAATACAATAGCCACTGCTACTGCCCAGGTGTAATACACCGTAATGACTTTATTAATATAAGTAAGGATTATTGTATGACTGCTAATCTATGTACAGTGCTCTGGAAAGGATGATATATATTGATAATTAATAAAGTGTGTAAGGAAACCAAGTATATTTAAACCTCATTCGGTAGTTTCCTCCCGAACCGCCAGAGCCTTAGTGATTATAGCCCTCCGTTCGGTAGATAGGGTAGACGAATCCTATAGCAATTCCAATAGATTCACAAGATGATTCCCTTAGGGAAACACACAAATCCCCAAACATCAGCCGAAGTCAAGAAGAAGGGTACAAAATGAACTGTCCTTTAATGGGTGCACACAGCTTTTATGCAAGTCCCCATGCAAGGGGACAGCCCTCAGGGAGGGACAAACATTAACCAATCACATACAGTAAAACTTTAACACACGCCTAACGTTCCCTCCCCTAACCCAAGAGATAATTCAATCTGATAAAATATTAACTTAATTATCTCCGGGCTGAAAAATCACATTTTTCCCCAATAACTGGAACACCCCTTTATACTTGAGGTATCCCCATAAATTATATGTCCCCTGATAACCCTGATCTGGCTGACCAACATATCCAAATTTCACCCAGATCGGTCCAGGGGTTCGCAAAAACTATGGAAGTCTCTTGTGACCGGCTCACCCTGGGCTGTATGCCCAAAACAGTTCCATGAATTTGGTGGGTTTTGCCGGTCACTTTTCGAAAAAGCAGAAAAACGAACAAAGTACCGAATGGATGCCTCTGGCTCCTAGCAGCGCTCGTGCCCCTCGGTCGAATACACCAAAGTACTGAATAGCGCTCTTCTAGCTATTCGGTAAATAGAGTTCCAGCGGTTGTCTGTTTGGGACCAGTGTTCGGGAAGTCGAGTGTTCATTTTCCGGTTCCATGCACTCGACGACCAGGTCCCGCTGCCTTTGTTCGCATGAACAAAGATGGCCGCAGTTTTCTGCCACGTGGCGTTCGACTGACGAACGCTGGCAGCACAGACAGAGGTAGCAATTTCACCCAAACTTTGATGTTTAATGAGCCAGAGGGTTGGTCTTTGTTCGGTAGTTACATCTACCGAATGCAATGGGCAGAAATAGGGTAACAAGAAGGGAATGCAATGAATGCAAATATAATATAACAAAAGTGGGCTTCTTCACAAAGTGTTTCATTCATTCCACTGACTAGCTCAATCCATAATTGTACAAATATACTCACCCACTCTTCACGCGAGGATACAACCCAATTACTGCGTCCTTGGCACAAGAAAAACCCAAACTTTTGGCTACATCTTTGCTCACAAAAACCTATAGACAGAAAGAGTTAATCATTAAGCCATGTTTACTAAGCCGGGTGGCTGTTACTGACAGAGTGCTGGCCTTTACACTAAGACTGCCCTGTGGCTGTTACTGACAGAGTGCTGGCCACTACACTAAGACTGCCCTGTGGCTGTTACTGACAGAGTGCTGGCCACTACACTAAGACTGCCCTGTGGCTGTTACTGACAGAGTGCTGGCCTTTACACTAAGACTGCCCTGTGGCTGTTACTGACAGAGTGCTGGCCTCTACACTAAGACTGCCCTGTGGCTGTTACTGACAGAGTGCTGACCACTACACTAAGACTGCCCTGTGGCTGTTACTGACAAAGTGCTGGCCACTACACTAAGACTGCCCTGTGGCTATTACTGACAGAGTGCTGGCCACTACACTAAGAGAGTGCCAGGTGGACTGTTACTGCTCTAAGACTGCCCTGTGGCTGTTACTGCCCTAAGACTGCCCTGTGGCTGTTACTGACAGAGTGCTGGCCACTACACTAAGACTGCCCTGTGGCTGTTACTGACAGAGTGCTGGCCTTTACACTAAGACTGCCCTGTGGCTGTTACTGACAGAGTGCTGGCCTCTACACTAAGACTGCCCTGTGGCTGTTACTGACAGAGTGCTGGCCTCTACACTAAGACTGCCCTGTGGCTGTTACTGACAGAGTGCTGACCACTACACTAAGACTGCCCTGTGGCTGTTACTGACAAAGTGCTGGCCACTACACTAAGACTGCCCTGTGGCTATTACTGACAGAGTGCTGGCCACTACACTAAGAGAGTGCCAGGTGGACTGTTACTGCTCTAAGACTGCCCTGTGGCTGTTACTGCCCTAAGACTGCCCTGTGGCTGTTACTGACAGACTGCTGGCCACTACACTAAGACTGCCCTGTGGCTGTTACTGACAGAGTGCTGGCCTCTACACTAAGACTGCCCTGTGGCTGTTACTGACAGAGTGCTGGCCACTACACTAAGACTGCCCTGTGGCTGTTACTGACAAAGTGCTGGCCACTACACTAAGACTGCCCTGTGGCTATTACTGACAGAGTGCTGGCCACTACACTAAGAGAGTGCCAGGTGGACTGTTACTGCTCTAAGACTGCCCTGTGGCTGTTACTGCCCTAAGACTGCCCTGTGGCTGTTACTGACAGACTGCTGGCCACTACACTAAGACTGCCCTGTGGCTGTTACTGACAGAGTGCTGGCCACTACACTAAGACTGCCCTGTGGCTGTTACTGACAGAGTGCTGGCCTCTACACTAAGACTGCCCTGTGGCTGTTACTGCCCTAAGACTGCCCTGTGGCTGTTACTGACAGAGTGCTGGCTTTTACACTAAGACTGCCCTGTGGCTGTTACTGACAGAGTGCTGGCCTCTACACTAAGACTGCCCTGTGGCTGTTACTGCCCTAAGACTGCCCTGTGGCTGTTACTGACAGAGTGCTGGCTTTTACACTAAGACTGCCCTGTGGCTGTTACTGACAGAGTGCTGGCCTTTACACTAAGACTGCCCTGTGGCTGTTACTGACAGAGTGCTGGCCACTACACTAAGACTGCCCTGTGGCTATTACTGACAGAGTGCTGGCCACTACACTAAGACTGCCCTGTGGCTGTTACTGACAGAGTGCTGGCGAGACTGCCCTGGCCACTTTACACTAAGACTGCCCTGTGACAGAGTGCTGGTTACTGACAGAGTGCTGGCCTTTACACTAAGACTGCCCTGTGGCTGTTACTGACAGAGTGCTGGCCACTACACTAAGACTGCCCTGTGGCTGTTACTGACAGAGTGCTGGCCACTACACTAAGACTGCCCTGTGGCTGTTACTGACAGAGTGCTGGCCTTTACACTAAGACTGCCCTGTGGCTGTTACTGACAGAGTGCTGGCCTTTACACTAAGACTGCCCTGTGGCTGCTACTGACAGAGTGCTGGCCTCTACACTAAGAGAGTGCCAGGTGGACTGTTACTCTTTATAATTTGTTTACTCTATTTAACTTGTATATGGGCTTTGTATATCTCCTATGTGAACTGTGGGTGATAATTCATGAATTACCTATATCTCTGAATACGGTTTCTTCTGGTTTATAGGCAAATAATTCTAAAACTATAATTTGCATGCAAGATGTGGACTTGTGTTTCGCTAGTTATACTATCTACTAGTATGACAATAAAAATGAGAGCAGTACTCATTACTAAGAGAGTGTCTAATGGGCCATTATTGACAATGTGTTGCCATGGCCCATTTACTGAGAAAAGGAAGGTAGTGTGGTTTGTTTACCAAGGAACAAGGGTGTAAAGAATTACTGTGAGAACGGGGCCTTGGTTTCCAGTTTGGAATGGTTGGTGGAAAAGGTTAAGGAATAGACTGTTTGTGTGGGAAGGGTGGGTACATGGCCTGCTTGCCATGAAAGGGTGGGTACATGGACTATTTACTGGAAACAGTAGGTGGTATGGGTTGCTTATTGGGAAATGGTGAAAGCATTTTCCGTTTGCTAAGAGAATAAACGATTGACTGGGACAGGCTGTGAGCTTGGGCTGCTTAACCCAGAACAGGTGGGGGTGGAAGGTTGGTCAGGGAGTGTGGGGGCATGGACTGTGTAACCCAGAACAGGTGGGGGATGTAAGGTTGGTCAGGGAGTGTGGGGGCATGGACGGTGTAACCCAGAACAGGTGGGGGATGTAAGGTTGGTCAGGGAGTGTGGGGGCATGGACGGTGTAACCCAGAACAGGTGGGGGGTGTAAGGTTGGTCAAGGAGTGTGGGGGCATGGACTGTGTAACCCAGAACAGGTGGGGAATGTAAGGTTGGTCAGGGAGTGTGGGGGCATGGACTGTGTAACCCAGAACAGGTGGGGGATGTAAGGTTGGTCAGGGAGTGTGGGGGCATGGACGGTGTAACCCAGAACAGGTGGGGGTGTAAGGTTGGTCAGGAGTGTGGGGGCATGGACTGTGTAACCCAGAACAGGTGGGGTGTAAGGTTGGTCAGGGAGGTGTGGGGGCATGGACGGTGTAACCCAGAACAGGTGGGGAATGTAAGGTTGGTCAGGGAGTGTGGGGGCATGGACTGTGTAACCCAGAACTGGTGGGGGATGTAAGGTTGGTCAGGGAGTGTGGGGGCATGGACTGTGTAACCCAGAACAGGTGGGGGGTGTAAGGTTGGTCAGGGAGTGTGGGGGCATGGACGGTGTAACCCAGAACAGGTGGGGGATGTAAGGTTGGTCAGGGAGGTGTGGGGGCATGGGGGTGTAACCCAGAACAAGGTTGGTCAAGAGTGTAATGGACTGTGGTCAGGTGGGGAATGTAAGGTTGGTCAGGAGTGTGGGGGCATGGACTGTGTAACCCAGAACAGGTGGGGGATGTAAGGTTGGTCAGGGAGTGTGGGGGCATGGACTGTGTAACCCAGAACAGGTGGGGGATGTAAGGTTGGTCAGGGAGTGTGGGGGCATGGACGGTGTAACCCAGAACAGGTGGGGGGTGTAAGGTTGGTCAGGGAGTGTGGGGGCATGGACTGTGTAACCCAGAACAGGTGGGGAATGTAAGGTTGGTCAGGGAGTGTGGGGGCATGGACTGTGTAACCCAGAACTGGTGGGGGATGTAAGGTTGGTCAGGGAGTGTGGGGGCATGGACTGTGTAACCCAGAACAGGTGGGGGATGTAAGGTTGGTCAGGGAGTGTGGGGGCATGGACTATTTGCTGGGGACTGTCCTCTGAGTCTTTCCATTAGTAAAAGTTCAATATTTGAGGAGATAAGAGCAGGATAAACCTTCTATGTAGAATATTCTCTTTAACACTGATAGAGTGACCTGAGGCATTGACAGGGTCCTTACACTTACTAAGTCTCCATGGGGAAAGAGCTGATAAAGTTCCTCTCTCTCTTTCTCAATCTCCACCGAGATAGTGATGCGTTGCTCCTTGGGGGCGGTACTATTGTATTTTTCAACCCTGGAGATCATCTTTAACTGTTCATTTGCATTTCTGCCCTAGGAGGACACATAGAAAGGGTTAAATTATAAAAGGTATACGTGGGAAAGAAACCTGGTAAAGAATGCCAGTAAGACAGTAGCAGCCAATGTACACATGATGCATTGGTATTGTGATAACTCTGCAGCGACTTCTGTTAACGAAAGAGAAATGTGAAAATTTACATAATGCTGGTATGCAAATTAGTACAAACAAATAAGCAATTAAATGCATATATTTTTGCTCTTTATTATGTTAGAAAGAGGTACCTGCATTATATATTTTGATGTATGAATTATAATTGCTTGTTCTCCAATGTGCTGTATAATTGTATTTTAAATGGTTTTCACCACCTTTTTCCAACAAGTCACTAAACACTAGTCCTTGTTCAAAATGAACATACTGAATATTAGATCTGCTGGGAACTGTGTCTCCTGTCTGTATGGTTGGAGAATCCAGTAACAGAGTGTTTGACCTGCTGTTGCTGGATTTGTGCAAGAAGTATGATATGGTGACCTTTCCGCAGTGACTGAGATTGTCTATGTCATACATTACCCATTTACCTGGTGAATTTGGTCTAGGCAGACTGTTACGTAAGAAAGGAGAGGAACCAGGAGTAATAAAAACTCCTTTCTCACACATTCAGCACATTATTCATTTTGCACTTTTTTATGTGTTTGTCTCTGTATATGTTTTTATCTCGTTGTTTAATAAAGGTTTCTTGAATAATCTTCTTTTCTAGAATGATTATATAATCGGTGGTTCCCCCATCTTTATGGCTGGTCCTACGTTCATTAGTTGTTTTTTTTTTAGATACATGATACGTCACACCGTGGGGGTCTCATACATAGTCAGGGGTCTGGATATACACTGCTCTATGTGAATGGATTGAATGTACTCAGGAAACACAAATACAGGCCAAGGGCTCACCTCCCAGTGAATCCATTTATACCGGGTGAGGTCTACTTTCTCAAAATCCTGTGCTGTCACATCTGGAAGATTCCTGAAATAAGAAAGATTATGGAAAATTATCCCTATTATAGGTGCCTGTTTTCGCTCCATCATCCAACAGAGCCAAAACTAAATTCTAAGGGAAAATATCCATACGCAGCCCAAAAATGTAGCAGTCATACATCAGCCGTGACTATAACCTGGTCTATATTTCAAACATCAGGCGTGAGTATCAACTGATCTGTAACTCGTGCATCAGCCGTGAGTGTCATCACGTCTATATCTCAAATACCAGCCAGGCTTATCACTTGGTGTATCTCTCATTATTAGGCCTTACAGTAGTATGCGGTCCAGAAGTACCCGTGGCTAGCAGATGATGACGATTGAAGGAGGCTAAGACTGAGCTTGGAAGCCCTGCGGTATTCTGATTCTGGGACATCATGAATGCCGTATTTCGATGAAGTGACAGACCTGGTACCCAATCTTGCCTACCTAGCCACATTGGAGTTGGAGCTGGAACAGGATCATAGGCAGCTGTTCGACTTTGTACAACAGCGGTCCCCAAAGACTGTGGATTTAATAGACTTCACACCCAAGGATGTTGGCCTTGTAAGTGTGGGAGAAACCGTGTTCTCCACACCTGAATAAGGTGAATCAGGTTGGAGATCTGGGCAGCTGGTTAAGATCTCCAACCCCTTGGCATGGGGACCCTGGCCACCCCAGTAGCTTCCAAGCAGCAGATGGCACTCCTGGGAGATGAGGGAATCAGCTTCCCTCAACAGCGGTAGATTGGGCTCCAGGTTGTGGATGTAGTCAGTCTCCCTACCAAGCCCAGATTGCACTCCTGGGACAGGAGGTAGTTGATCTCCCTCCCCAGCGGCAGACTGGGCTCCAGGGCAAGGAGGTAGCTGGCCACCCTTCCCAGTGACAGCTTGCAACCAGGGAGAGAAGGGGCAGATTGCAACCCAGGGAGAAGAGGTCATCTGCCTCCCAGCAATGAATTGCAACCGAGCGTCAGGAGATAGAGGTAGCAGACAGGAGGTAGTTCATCTCCCTCCTCAGCGGCAGATTGGGCTCCAGGGAGTGGACATAGTCGGCCTCCATCCCAAGCGGTGGATTACAACCCAGAAAGAGGAGTTTGAAAAAGTACTATGGGTAAAATGCATTAGTGTTTTATGTCATTGGTTTTATTACCTTTGTTTTAAATAATACAATTTTTTTTACCTTACCTGGACCTTCTTAAATTTTATCCCTGAAGATTTTATCCCAAGGAGTCACACTTTTTACCTCCTTGATGGGGAGGAAACCATCTACGCTACACAGGAATGAGCAAAAAACTATTTTTTTTTGCTCTCCTTATGTGAGTATACCTCCTTTTATTTTGCTTTTACAACAGCACTATGTTTTCTGTTTTTATTCTCATTTTATGTAATTGAGTAATATCTGTGACACTGCAATTTGGAGGGAAATGCTCAATACTTTAATTGGCCCTTGACCCTGACCTACCATCTACAAGGAACCAAGCTGAGCGACATATCCACAGGCTGGGATCATACTGCCCAGGCGCATATATCTGGAGCTGAACATAAGCTCCAGAAAAGTGAGATAAACAGGGGAGAAGGCAGCTAGCTTTCCTCCCCAACATCATGCGGTGGAGCTTCTTTTGGGAGACTTTAAGAGTTACCTGACTAACTTTGTGTACTTTGTTAGTTTACACTTGGGGGGAGATATGTGATGGTAGTCCCCATCACTGGGAGCATAAGATGGACATTCATGTAAGTCCCTGGATGACTCTTATGTTTAAGTCACGCTGTGTCCATTATAGGTGCAGGATTTGTATTATTGCTATTTGTTAAATGTTTTGTGTGCTCCCCTTTTCTGCTGATGCTCTCTACCAACAAGGTGGATTTGGTTATATATATTGGATTGAGTGTGTCACCATAAGTTTAATGTAATGTGCATAGGTACTAGTCTTGAGTGAAAATAAAGTATTCTGTTAGTTCCATCGTGAAATGTGCGCCCTCTGTGGTTTGTTCAGGGAGCCCAGTAACAAAGCTTTTGAACCTGTTGTCTGGCTGTACTGGTCCCTGATTCCCAGGACAAATTAAGTAGGAGCTAGGTCTGAGAGTCACAAATGCCTTTGTAAAGTAGGCAGAGGGGACAATACATGCCTGAGAGGTGAGCTGCAGCATGGTTGGGTGGAAGAAGTCCTCAGCACCTGGGTCCCTGATAGCAGCAAGGAAGTGGACCTGGAAGAGGTACTCAGTCGGAACACGGGAGCTCCACTACACATCACCAATCTGAAACATTCGCACACCAACCAGGGCTACCTGGTCTGTATCTCACACTTTCATTCAAACATATGAGACAAGTTGTCCAGGATAAAATCAATTTCTCTATTTTATAGATTATCGACATGGACTTCTTCTAGCCTTGATTATCTCACAGAGGCAGAATTTACTGTGAGGAATTTGTGGTTAGCCATTTCCAGACAACTGAAAAAAAACTGGTGGAGGAGGATTTGTTGATTTTGTTCTGACTATACAGAGCGAGGATGTCATTAGTTTCTTACGTGTCATACAATGTGACGGTACGAGAGCCATTAGACGTGTTGACCAAGCAGCAGGCACAAGGCGTATCCCCCGAGGTCTGCCAGCTCACGTTGAAAGCATCAATGCCTCTGTTCCCAAAGTCTGCCATGATAAAGCTAAATGGGGAATGTGGATGAAGCGGAGTTGAAACAGGAAAGGGACACAGTATGAAGAGAGGAGTTATTTTTATGGAACTAATCCATAAGGTGACCAAAAGGTTAAATATGGAGTGAAGCTGAATGTAAGCCTGGGTAAAAGAAGTACTGGTGGGTACGGGTTCTGTGTTAACCTAAGAAATTAATCACATTTAAAAATCATGTATAACGACTATTCCCATATAACTCCTGTATAAAGATAACATACTATTCCCACATAACTCCTGTATAAAGATCACTTACTATTCCCACATAACTCCTGTATGGAGATCACTTACTATTCCCATGTAACTCCTGTATAAAGATCACTTACTATTCCCATATAACTCCTGTATAAAGATCACTTACTATTCCCATATAACTCCTGTATGGAGATCACTTACTATTCCCATGTAACTCCTGTATAAAGATCACTTACTATTCCCATATAACTCCTGTATAAAGATCACTTACTATTCCCATATAACTCCTGTATGGAGATCACTTACTATTCCCATACAACTCCTGTATAAAGATCACTTACTATTCCCATACAACTCCTGTATAAAGATCACTTACTATTCCCATATAACTCCTGTATGAAGATCACTTACTATTCCCATATAACTCCTGTATAAAGATCACTTACTATTCCCATATAACTCCTGTATAAAGATCACTTACTATTCCCATACAACTCCTGTATAAAGATCACTTACTATTCCCATACAACTCCTGTATAAAGATCACTTACTATTCCCATATAACTCCTGTATAAAGATCACTTACTATTCCCATATAACTCCTGTATAAAGATCACTTACTATTCCCATATAACTCCTGTATAAAGATCACTTACTATTCCCATATAACTCCTGTATAAAGATCACTTACTATTCCCATATAACTCCTGTATAAAGATCACTTACTATTCCCATATAACTCCTGTATAAAGATCACTTACTACTATTCCCATATAACTCCTGTATAAAGATCACTTACTACATATAACTCCTGTATAAAGATCACTTACTATTCCCATGTAACTCCTGTATAAAGATCACTTACTATTCCCATATAACTCCTGTATAAAGTATAAAGATCACTTACTATTCCCATATAACTCCTGTATAAAGATCACTTACTATTCCCATATAACTCCTGTATAAAGATCACTTACTATTCCCATATAACTCCTGTATAAAGATCACTTACTATTCCCATATAACTCCTGTATAAAGATCACTTACTATTCCCATACTCCTGTATAAAGATCACTTACTATTCCCATACAACTATTCCCCTCCTGTATAAAGATCACTTACTATTCCCATATAACTCCTGTATAAAGATCACTTACTATTCCCATATAACTCCTGTATAAAGATCACTTACTATTCCCATATAACTCCTGTATAAAGATCACTATAACTATTCCCATATAACTCCTGTATAAAGATCACTTACTATTCCCATACAACTCCTGTATAAAGATCACTTACTATTCCCATATAACTCCTGTATGAAGATCACTTACTATTCCCATATAACTCCTGTATAAAGATCACTTACTATTCCCATATAACTCCTGTATAAAGATCACTTACTATTCCCATATAACTCCTGTATAAAGATCACTTACTATTCCCATATAACTCCTGTATAAAGATCACTTACTATTCCCATATAACTCCTGTATTCACTTACTATTCCCATAACTCCTGTATAAAGATCACTTACTATTCCCATATAACTCCTGTATAAAGATCACTTACTATTCCCATATAACTCCTGTATAAAGATCACTTACTATTCCCATACAACTCCTGTATAAAGATCACTTACTATTCCCATACAACTCCTGTATAAAGATCACTTACTATTCCCATATAACTCCTGTATGAAGATCACTTACTATTCCCATATAACTCCTGTATAAAGATCACTTACTATTCCCATATAACTCCTGTATAAAGATCACTTACTATTCCCATATAACTCCTGTATAAAGATCACTTACTATTCCCATATAACTCCTGTATAAAGATCACTTACTATTCCCATACAACTCCTGTATAAAGATCACTTACTATTCCCATATAACTCCTGTATAAAGATCACTTACTATTCCCATACAACTCCTGTATAAAGATCACTTACTATTCCCATATAACTCCTGTATAAAGATCACTTACTATTCCCATACAACTCCTGTATGAAGATCACTTACTATTCCCATATAACTCCTGTATAAAGATCACTTACTATTCCCATATAACTCCTGTATAAAGATCACTTACTATTCCCATACAACTCCTGTATGAAGATCACTTACTATTCCCATATAACTCCTGTATAAAGATCACTTACTATTCCCATATAACTCCTGTATAAAGATCACTTACTATTCCCATATAACTCCTGTATAAAGATCACTTACTATTCCCATACAACTCCTGTATAAAGATCACTTACTATTCCCATATAACTCCTGTATAAAGATCACTTACTATTCCCATATAACTCCTGTATAAAGATCACTTACTATTCCCATATAACTCCTGTATAAAGATCACTTACTATTCCCATATAACTCCTGTATAAAGATCACTTACTATTCCCATATAACTCCTGTATAAAGATCACTTACTATTCCCATACAACTCCTGTATAAAGATCACTTACTATTCCCATATAACTCCTGTATAAAGATCACTTACTATTCCCATATAACTCCTGTATAAAGATCACTTACTATTCCCATACAACTCCTGTATAAAGATCACTTACTATTCCCATATAACTCCTGTATAAAGATCACTTACTATTCCCATATAACTCCTGTATAAAGATCACTTACTATTCCCATATAACTCCTGTATAAAGATCACTTACTATTCCCATATAACTCCTGTATAAAGATCACTTACTATTCCCATATAACTCCTGTATAAAGATCACTTACTATTCCCATATAACTCCTGTATAAAGATCACTTACTATTCCCATACAACTCCTGTATAAAGATCACTTACTATTCCCATATAACTCCTGTATGAAGATCACTTACTATTCCCATATAACTCCTGTATAAAGATCACTTACTATTCCCATATAACTCCTGTATAAAGATCACTTACTATTCCCATATAACTCCTGTATAAAGATCACTTACTATTCTCATATAACTCATATAACTATAAAGAACACTGAGGTTGTTCTAAAGAAATGGGTGGTTTAGGGTCTCCTCAAGCGAGCCCCATCCCATTGGCGGCATTTGGAGATTATTATTATTATTTTACATAGGGGGAACCTAGTATATCCCAGCCCCACCTAGTTGCTAACTGTTTGGTAAATATTTGGCTAGTTAGCTATGTGGCAGCCGGCTAGCAAACATTGTCTAGCTTTATCAAGTTTTATTTATTTTTTTATAATTTGCTGCCAGCGGGCGAATCGTTTTCTATGAACGGACCCAAATTTGAGACATTCTGGCCTAGATTTGAACATGTTGGTTAGGATTTTAGCTGTTCAGCAGCATTGGGTCTGGCTGAAATTAGACATTGTCCACACTAGCCCTGAACATTGAATAATGTCCAGAATTTGCATTCCGAATAGCCCTGTACAACACCAGATGGTTTTGCCCCATTCGGTATGGTGCAATTCAGACTTTGGTGAATAAGTGAATTACTTGGATATGACCCCTGAAGCTTACACATGCTACTAACATATAAAAAAACTCCAGTAGAAAAAGGGGTGTGTGTGTTAAAAACTGGTATTGGTTTAAACGTTTTTTTAAAAGACATTGGAATTATTAGAAGGTATATAAATAGGAGAGCAGGGACTAGAGAGTCTACTATACTGGATTGAGGAAGCCAACAGAAGATGAAACACTTTTCTGGATGATACAAGGACTGTGAATTGGTAATTTTTAGTAAATTTATTTTGTTTTTAATACTATAATAAAGTAATTTTTTTTAATACCACCACCCGAGTTCTCAAAGAAGGTGGTGTGGTCCTTTATACTGCGCCATGCTTGTGAGTATAACTGCTACCACAATGTCACACTATTTCTACAAATTCCCTCTACCCTGAGATACACCACTAGAAAAAGGATCCACTTAAAGAATCAGCACAAGAGAGCGGAAGCTCACCTCACCGGACCTGGAGGCTACAAACATCAGAGCTAGGTTGATTTGTTTTATCATACGTGTTAAGGTTTTAGTACAAAAAAAATACAATATAACACACGTGCTCCCAGGTGGTTAAATATATATAAAATAGAGTTATCCTTTTATATTGTAAGAAGATCCCTCTAATATTCTTTATCAACTACAAATACAATCTAAAAAATATAAAAACACACAGAAACCAAAAAGTGGTGTAGTAAATTTAAACATCAAGAACTGTGCTTGTGTCAAATTGCATTAACAATATAGTAGTGAATTGTAGGCATCTAGGAATCTTTGGGATTCAGAGGAGCTTGAAATTCTTCTTTTTCCACCTTAATTAGGAGGGAGAGACACAAAACATAGGGCACCAGTATAATCAAATTTGCTAAATTTATTTAGATTGCACTCACAAGATGATGATAAAAATCCAGCATTTCAAACACTCGGGTTTTTCTTCCAATGCCACTAAACTAGTGGCAAGTTGTGGAGAAGCTGGAAGGATCTAAAAAAGAAAATATGTAAAATAAATACAAGAAAAAAAAAATAAGTACAAGATGCAAATATCAATAAAAAGGTACTTCCTTGGTCTCTCCGCCCTACGTGTTTCGTCCTGAACAGGACTTCCTCAGGGTTAAATCAAGGTGTAAAGTCTGTCCTCCTCTGTCAGCTTTTTAAATCTGGAATTTTATTATAGAAACTTTGGGCGGAATTCCCAGGCCTGTTAAGGTTTTTTCGCTTCCCTGGTCGCCACATACATGACCCATACTGGACGGGATCCGAAGAAAGGGTCGAACGCATTCTCCGTCTGGCGCGGGGACGAAGCCCAGATTTCCATAAAGAGGATCTTTCGCCCGTGAACCATTCTTCTTTCCATCCTTCCACTCCCAGTCCTTCTACTCACTGAGATCGGACAGAGGTAGAGGGAGTAGAGCCAGAGGACATGCAAGACTATTCTGCAGGTGACAGCGCCTCCTGCCATTTATCTTTACCCCTGTTGCATGTGGGCAGACTGTTTCACTGCATGGACAAGTGACGGGAGGTATCCTCAGACGTGTGAGTACTTCAGTCGGCTCGAGGATAGGTCATGGATTTTCGTTCCCGCCGACTCTACTTCCGCTGGCTCAAACCGCCTTATGGGTGCTACAATCCCTCATAGACACTGAGATTTGAGCTCTGTTCGACTAGGGCGTGGTCCAGTGGACTCCAGACACGCAGAACTTTTTCAGCTCGATTTTTCTGGTAAGGAAAAGATCTGGGGATATCCGCCCGGTGTTCAACCTGAGAATCTTAAACGCCATTGTGGTAAACCATCATTTCAAGAGGAAGAACACACATCGACTACGGGACCTCCTCCGGCCGCGAGATTGGTTCGCAGGACTGGATCTAAAGGACGTCTACCTCTCTGTCTCGGTGGACAACGAGTGCCGAAGATTTCGCCATTTCCTTGGATAAGATGGACTTTGCCATTGCACCTGTTGTCCTATCGGACTACGCGTGGTGGGTCTCCTCTCTGCATCGAGCCAGGCGACCTACCCGGACCCACTCCAGTACAGGGTCATGCAGCGGCTGAAGGCTTGTTTTTCTACGCAAGAGACTACGCAATCACCAAGTGATTCACCTCACTACGGACGTGAAGACCAAACTGCACCGGTGACTCCTCATGTCGGCCTGTACGGCAAGATGATCTGAGGGGAGCCGCATGCACAACCAGTTCCACGGGGGGGTCCATGGTCAGAGATGGAGTCGGTGTCTCCCATAAACTGCCGGGAACTGCTTGCAGGATCGTTTGCGATTCAGAGTCTGCGAGTCACTTTTCCGATTGCTGCGTACTCCTCCGGATGGACAATGCCTCGACAGTGCAAGGCTTCAACCGCCTGGGAGGAGCCCGCTCCCGGACTTTCTCGAAGGTTACAAAGGAGTTCTACGGTTTCTGCTTCAGACGCAACATTATCCTCCAGGCAGAGTATCCGTCGGGGGGTTGAACCTGACAACTAATTGGTTCTCCAGACATTGGAGGGACGCCGGCGATTGTAGGATCTCTCGTCCCACCTTCCTCAAGATCGTAGACCGGAGGGGTCCATTCACAGTGGACCTTTTGCGCCTCACTGATGAACTTTTGGGTCCTAACCTGCTTCAGCTGGCTCACGGGTCAGGCTTGTTCAGCGATGGACGCTCTCCTCCAAGTGTGGTCGCCATGAGGAGTTGATGCGATACATCCGCTTAGTGGCCTGGACTCTTTCAGGGGAGCCTGGGGTATTGAGGCGTTATCGCAGTCGGCTAGGACCTCTGCTGGGAGTCCTGGGCCCCTGGGATTAGGAGATGCTATTTGTCAGCATGGTGGTCCTGGTGCCCGGAACCAAACTTTAACCAGCGTTCTGGATTTTCGGTCACACCGGTTTGACCTGGAACACTCGTATCGTTTGGCTTATGTAGTTAGATCAACGGTTCCGGCTGTCCACGTACTGATTAGCAGATGTTTCAGAGGTATGTGGCCTAGGGTTCCTTTCTCTGGGACGTATGCGCAATTTTTTTATCATTCCCCAAGGAATGGCCTGATACTCAGGACCTTCCCTTTGTTGACTTTTGGCTATTTTGCCCTCTTACTATGCCTTATTTCAATCAGACGTGTGTCGGACGTCCGACCCTTAGATGTCGACGCCTCTTCTTTCTCTCCGGCAGGGGTCACTTTTAGGGTGTCTATACGTACTACTAGGATATGACAGCTATATTCTTCCCACATTTCCGCGTCTCTCCTATACTCTGCGTAGCGACGACGCTGTCTCGTTATGGGGTGATTCCTTCCCTCTTCGTCTTTCTCGTTCCGGTTATTGATTTGTTCTATCAGAACTATCAATCCAGTCTCGTCTCCGTCTTTGGCGCAATTAATTTATGGTTGACATTGGCTGGTGTAGCGGAGCTGCAATATTAAATTCCACGATCTCTGCTGGTACAGAAGGTATTCCAAAGTCAAGTGCTGAAAAGTAAGGCAATATCCCAAATCCCCCAGTAACCGGACAAAACACAGTTCTGGGAGTCAACTGAGGTTTTTATTCACAGGTCACAGTATTTATGCAAGGGGTTTCCCAACTGTCATTGCAGGGGTTTATACAGTAGGGGACTACATGGGGGACTTAACAACATGGACATTTCTCCCATCAGGCACTGCTGGACGAGAGGGATACTCTAACTGGAATATACCATTAAGTTGATTATCCCTCCGTGCAGCTTAACCGACATTTTACATTAAAAATACATAACTTTTATAATATTCACTTTATTTAAACAAATGGACGTTCGGTAGATAGCTGGGGTCTGAGCGCACAGTTCGTGAGAATACCACTCAGATCCCAGCATAAATAACCGAACGCCACACGAAATACACTTTAACATTATGTTCGCCTAGAAGTACCGAACACCGATCGGGAACCATAATAGCGAAAGACCGGAGCTCCCGAACAACCTGGAAGTCCAGCGGTGTTCGTGACGTCGAGTAGCCGTTTTCAGTTCCACGCGCTCGACGATTAAACACCACTGGTGAAACAAAGGATCCAAGATGGCCGACCGCCGCGTGGTCGGTAGCCGAACGACGGCCACCTAGGAAAGCCCTTAATGAGTGCCTCTGTGTGTGGGCCACTGGGTGGTAGCTCATTCGTTTCACGAACAGCCGGTAAAGTCTCTCTTCGTGAAACGAAACACATGAATGCTAGCGGCTTTTGGCTGCTAGCATACTAATTCTATACACATAGCAGTACAGACCAATATTACAATATATAATCCAGCGGTTATTGCAGACAACCTTTTGTACATATAGTTCAGCAACCCACAAGTGGCTAGGTTTGCCACAATGCTCCCCCAAAACCAAGGCGGCATATACAGTCTGATCCCAACGGATCAGCTATAACCCGTCGGCGTTACCGTTTTGTTTCCCTGGACGGTAATGGATTGTAAAGTCAAAAGGCTGCAGCGCCAAACTCCAGCGCAGCAGCCTGGCATTGTCTCCAGCCCCACGGTTCAGCCACACCAATGGGTTGTGATCTGTGAGCAAGGAAAAAGGTTGTCCATATAAATAGGGCTGCAACTTTTTGAGGGCCCACACCACGGCCAGGCATTCTTTCTCGATGGCGGCGTAGCTCACTTCACGTGGTAATAGTTTCCGGCTTAGCTACGCTACGGGATGTTCTCCGCCATCTGCTCCAACTTGGCTCAGCACTGCTCCCAATCCAAACATTGAAGCGTCTGTGTGGACAAGAAAACGTTTAGTTGGTTCAGGAGCAGCAAGTACAGGTGCATTAGTTAGAGCCGTCTTGAGTTGGTTAAATGCCTGATCACACTCTGGGGCCCAGACGACCTATCGAGGAAGGTTTTTGCGGGTCAAGTCAGTCAAGGGTTTGGCCAGGGCACTATAATTGGGTACGAATTTTCGGTAGTACCCTGCAGTACCCAGGAAGGCTAGCACTTGGGTTTTTGTCCTAGGGGTGGGCCACTTAGCAACGGCTTCAATCTTTGCTGGTTCGGGTTTTTGTTGCCCGCTCCCCACCCGGTGTCCCAAGTACTGCACCTCTGCCATTCCTATATAACACTTGCTAGGTTTCAGCGTCAAACCTGCCTCTCCGATACGGTCAATAACGGCTCCTATGTGATGCTCTGCCCAGGTCTGGCTATATATATGGCGATATCGTCCAGGTATGCACACGCATATTCCTGGAACCCGTCCAATAGCTGATCTACCATCCGTTGAAAGGTCGCCGGGGTGTTTTTCATCCCGAATGGCATGACTTTGGTACAGGCCAAACGGGATGACAAACGCCGACTTGGGGATGGCATCCTCGGCTAGTGGAATTTGCCAGTATCCCTTACATAAATCTATGGTGGTGAGATACTGGCCTCGTGCCCTCTTGTCCAACAGCTCGTCTATCCGGGGCATCGGATAGGCATTAGACACCGTTTTGTCATTTAGCCTCTGGTAGTCGACACAAAAACGTGTCGTGCCATCCTTCTTGGGTACTAGCACTACCGGCGATGCCCAGGGGCTATCGGAATGTTCAATAACCCCTAGCTGCAACATTTCCTCAATTTCCTTCCTCATATGTTCCCTGACTGCTTCAGGGATACGATATGGGGTCTGCCGCATAGGTAGCTGTCCAGGGGTCTCGACTCGGTGAGTGGCTAGCGGAGTGTACCTAGGTAAATTGGAGAAGGTGGCTCCTTTAGCCGCAATCAACTCCTGCACCTGGGCTGCTCCTGAGGGCTTAGCCGCTCCTCCAGTTGAACACTCGTGGAGGGCTCTGCCTGGTCGTCCTGTTCTAATAGGTCAGGTAGTGGCAGGTTCTCCTGATCCTCAGAGGCGGGGGCGCATATTACTGCCACGTCCTCTATCCTCTCATGATAGGGTTTGAGCATGTTCACGTGGAGCATGCGTCTCTTCCCTACCCCTGAGCACATCTCTGTTCCACCACCTGGTATGGGCCTTGCCAGATGGCCTGCAGCTTGTCTGTGTGGACAGGTTTTAAAATCAAAACATTTTGTCCCACTTGAAAGCTGTGGTCTCTGGCTCCCCTATCATACCAGCGGCGCTGGCGTTGTTGGGCCGCCTGGAGGTTGGAGCGTACGGCCTGGGTTAGTGCCTCCAAGCGGTCCCTAAACTCCAGCACGTTTGGTACAATGGGTGTCCCATCTGTACTACTCTCCCCCTCCCAGTGCTCTCTAATTAAGTCTAATGGCCCTCGCACCCTTCTTCCAAACAGCAATTCGAAAGGGGAAAACCCTGTCGACTCTTGGGGTACCTCTCTATACGCAAATAGCAGATGGGGTAGAAATCGCTCCCAGTCTTTATGAGCCTCTCCAAACGTACGCAGCATCTGCTTCAGGGTACCGTTAAAACCTTTCGCATAAACCATTGGACTGGGGGTGGTATGCGGAATTTACTATAGGCTTAATGCCACATATCTTCCAGAGTTGTTGGGTGACCTCGGCGGTGAACTGGGTACCCCTATCGGATATGATCTCCTGGGGGAACCCTACCTGGGAGAATATTTTCATTAAGGCCTCGGCCACAGTTTTCGCATGAATATTAGAGAGGGCTATGGCCTCGGGGTACCGGTTAAAATATACTTCTTGCCCGAGGGACTGGGCTTGGGCAAGGGGCCCACTATATCTACGGCCACCCCTTCTTCAATGATGGGTAGGGGGCATAATTTGGCTTTGTGGCGGTCACCCCTCTTGCCCACTCGCTGGCAAATGTCGCATGAGGTGCAGTACTGCCGCACATCTTTAGAGATTCCTGTCCAGAAAAAGGCGTGGGTCAAACGATATCGGGTGCGTGTCATTCCCAGATGCCCAGACAAGGGAATGTCGTGAGCAATCCTAAGCAGTTCTTGCCTATACTTTTGGGGAACTACTAGCTGTTTAGTCGTTACCGTGACCGACCCCCCCACTACTCTTTCGGCAATACGATATAATAACCCTTTCTCCCCCTCTAATCCGGCCTGGTCTGTGCTTACCCTGTCCCTGTACACCTGTAACGTGGGGTCTATCTTCACCTCCGCCTCAAATTTAGTTGGGGTATCCCAGGTCATACGGGTCGTGTGAGGGTCACCGTCTCTTACCTGAGCCTCAGAGTGTGCTGATGGAACCGTGGTGCGAGCCTGCTGTCTGGTGGTCACTGGATGTGCTTCCTGGTGTGAAGCCTGGGGTATAAAAGCAGAGGTCATCCAGCCCAGGTCGTTCCCCAGTACAACATCTGCGGGTAACTTCTGCATCAGGCCCACCTCTACCATCCCCTCCCCAGCACCCCAATTCAAATGTACTTTGGCAGTGGGTAGTCTGTACACTGCTCCCCCTGCAACTCGTACTGCCACGGATCCGTCGGTGTGTGCTGAACCTGGAACCAAATGGGGTGCTACCAAAGTCAGGGTGGCTCCTGAATCCCGGAGCCCGTGCACTTCTTTCCCCTCCAGAGTCACTAGTTGGCGATTATGTTGCCTGTTGTCGGTGGCTTGAACCGACATCACTTCGTGCAGTCTCCCCAGGGGTTCTTCGGCCTGAATACTCAGTATCTCCTGGGTGGCTGGCTCGACTTGGTAGTGGTGAGAGGCTGCCCTTGGTGCCGGGTTTTGTCGTACTTGGTTCCACGCCTGCCAGCTCCGGTTCTGAGTGCACTCCCGTTGCCTGCATGTATGGCATTGAATATTAGCCCTGCCATTATATCAGGAGGGAGGAGGTTGGCTCCCCGGGGTTGCTGTAGAGGCTGTACTGGGTTGAACTGTGGGTCGAGGGTAACCTCTGTTACCTCCTCGCATCAAAATGCTGGTCTGCTAGTCGGGCCGCTTCGTTTAGGGTGAGGGGTTTGCGGTCTCTCACCCATTCTTGTGCCTCTGGGGACAAGCCATTAAAGAATTGTTCCAGCAGCATCAATTGTCGTAACTCCTCCATAGTGGTGGCTTGGCTCGCTTGTATCCACCCCTGTGATGCTTGGTCCAGCTTGTGGGCCCACTCGGCATGAGAGTCTCTCAGGTTTGCGCAATCCCCTAAACTTGCGCTGGTATGCCTCCGGGGTAATGGCATATCGTTCTAGTATAGCCCGTTTTACTTTGTCATAATCCTTGCTGTCCTCTCTGGGTACAGTGCGATAGGCTTCTGCTGCCCGACCTGACAGTTTGCCTGCCAGTAACGGTACCCATACTGCCTGCTCCAAATCATGTAAATCACACAGCCTCTCAAAATCTTGCAAATACCCATCAATCTCATCCTTCTTCTCACAAAACATCTTAAAAGCATGATATGGGATTTTGGGTTTTACCTGGCCATAGACTGAGGTAGTAATGGATTCTGCCCTGGACAGTGTCTCCTGTGGACGGTGTGCCATCACATACTCCTGCACATCCGCCATCAGCACGGTCAATATTTCCAGGGGTACTGGCTGCGGCAGAAACTCCATCCTGGTTCTCATTTCTTTTTGGTATGGGGTTTCCTCCATGGCTGGTGGGGGTGTAACACTGCGGGCTCAGTCTCCCTCCATCAATTCGGCAATCAGCACGGCTTTTGGCTTGTTGCTAGCGATCTTCCCCCAGGCTTCCAGCAGTTCCTTTAGTGTCTGCCTTTTTAATGCAGTGTTATCTGTCTCCATTCACTTTTGTGTTCGGTTCTCTGCTGCATCCGAATTGCCATTCACTTTTCCCGTTCGGTAGTTTCACTTTATCCGAACGCCGCGCTTCGGCTGTAAGGTTGGATCCAGTCGCTTGCCACCAATTGTAGCGGAGCTGCAATATTAAATTCCACGATCTCCGCTGGTACAGAAGGTATTCCAAAGTCAAGTGCTGAAAAGTATGGCAACATCCCAAATCCCCCAGTAACCGGACAAAACACAGTTCTGGGAGTCAACTGAGGTTTTTATTCACAGCTCCAGTATTTATGCAAGTCCCCATGCAAAGGGTTTCCCTACTGACATTGCAGGGGTTATACAGTAGGGGACTACATGGGGGACTTAGCAACCTGGACATTTCTCCCATCAGGCACTGCTGGACGAGAAGGATACTCCCACTGGAATATACCAGTAAGTAGATTATCCCTCCGTGCAGCAGAACCGACATTTTCCATTAAAATACATAACTTTTATAATATTCACTTTATTTAAACGAATGGACGTTTGGTAGATAGCTGGGGTCTGAGCGCACAGTTCGTGAGAATACCGCTCAGATCCCAGCATAAATAACCGAACGCCGCACGAAATACACTTTAACATTATGTTCGCCTAAAAGTACCGAACACCGATGGGGAACCATAATAGCGAAAGACCGGAGCTCCCGAACGGCCGTAAAGTCCATCGGTGTTCATGCCGTCGAGTAGCCGTTTTCAGTTCCACGTGCTCGATGACCAAACACGCTGATGAAACAAAGGATCCAAGATGGCAGACTGCCGCGTGGTCGGTAGCCCAACGACGGCCACCTAGGAAAGCCCTTAACTACCGTTAATGAGTGCCACACGACCCTCTGTGTGTGGGTTACTGGGTGGTAGCTCATTCATTTCACGAACAGCCGGTAAAGTCTCTGTTCGTGAAACGAAACACAAGAATGCTAGCGGCTTTTGGCTGCTAGCATACGAATTCTATACACATAGCAGTACAGACCAATATTACAATATATAATCCAGCGGTTATTGCAGACAACCTTTTGTACATATAGTTCAGCAACCCACAAGTTGCTAGGTTTGCCACAGCAGGGGTAAATTTGACCTTCTGAGTCTTTTTCGGTTAGAGGCGCGGCCTCAAACGCCTGCAGGGCGGGCACATCTCTCCAGGACATCAGGCATGCAGCTTCTGATCCCGAGATGGTACCTTTCGACAATTTTAGGTTAGACCGGTGGATCGTGCTTCTTTTGCTTTGCTTTCTGAGCGTTAAAACAGCAAATATGAAGCCTCCTGTCATGTTATAAATTGTATATTATGCTAGCTTTAGTGTAACTATAATCTTAATTTTATTAATGACAGGAGGCAAATATTTCCCTGCCAGTTTCACCGTACCCTAGTACCTTGTTTGTTTTATTTGACCACCTCTAGTTGATAGTCTGTTCTCCAGGGCTATAATTGGGTGGCTCAGTTTTGTGCCTTCCTGAGGGAAGCCAGGGTGAGATTTTATAGATATTGTACTATATGTAATTGATTATGAGTCTTCATATTTTTCACAGTACATTTCATGCACTAATCGGAGTGTTCGACTGTTTCTCTCGTTTCAGTTTATTATTCATCTGCAGATCCAGGTTCAAGACTTTCTTCAGCTTTTATGGTTCGTCTACAGATCCACGTTCAAGACCTTTATCTGGTTAAAGTGTAATGGTTCATCTACGGATCCACGTTCCGTTTTGGGTTCTGGATGGAGGTCATCGGTTGATATTGTTTGGTTTTTGTACTGCTATTAGATGTACATGTTTTTTTCTGTTCTTTTTTTGTCGCAGCTTGAAAGAGGAAATAGTTGGTTGGGAGGGGACTTTTATTGTATCTAACTTTTTCCTGATTGGTTGTTAATGTGCTGCTGTGGAGTTCTAGTAAAGAGAGACTTCAGCAAATATTCGCCTTCTGTCATTAATAAAATTAAGATTATAGTTACACTAAAGCTAGCATAATCTACAATTGCGTTCCAAACAGTTATATCCGGTATCACATGGAACGATCACGTGACCACAAGTCCTCATGTCTGTGTACCAACGAGTTACGGGTAAAATATTGAGAGGTAAGAACAATAAGGTATATCAATCAGAAAATATACTCAATAAAGTTAAGTCAAAGTGGGCTTTAGTTAAAACCAAAAGGCAATCAAATACATTAAAAAATGACAATAAAAATCTGATTAAAAAAATATAAATATAACAACAGTCACGAGAAATAGATTGTAAAATTCTTATTTTAATAGAGAAGGAACCCAGATGAAAAAATATGGGTGAATAAAAATTACAAGTATAAATTTAAATTAAATTTGTATAAAGATGTGAATTTACATATAAAAAAGGTTGTAAATAATTGATTATAAAAAAAACACACCATATCAAAATCGACATTTAGACCCATGGGACTAAAGGTCTTTAAATTAAAAATCCAAAAACCTTCTCTTTGTCTCAATTTTCTAATTAAGTCACCTCCTTTGTCATCAAGGGTTACCTTCTCCAAACCCGTGCACAAAAAGGTCTTAAAATTGAAATGAGGGCAATTATTGCAGTGGATTGGTACAATGGTCAGTTTCTTCTTTATATTATTACAGTGCTCCATGAACCTAGTTTTCAGAGCTCTACTAGTCCTACCTACATACTGAATACCACATCCACAAGTTAAAAGATAGACTACATTCGTGGTATTGCAACTGATATGTAGCACAGTATGTGGGTAGGACTAGTAGAGCTCTGCAAAATAGGTTCATGGAGCATTGATAATAATATAAAGAAGAAACTGACCACCCACTCTTTACCAATCCACTGCAATAATTGCCCTCATTTCAATTTTAAGACCTTTTTGTCCCACTCTATTTGCATCTTGTACTTTTTTTTAAATTTATTTTATTTTCTGTTTTAGATCCATCCAGCTTCTCCACAACTTGCCCCTATTTTAGTGGCATTGGAAGAAAAACCTGAGTGTTTGAAATGCTGGATTTTTATCATTTTGTGAGTTCAATCTAAATACATTTTGTAAATTTAATTATACTGGTGCACTATGTTTTGTGTCTCTCCCTCCTGATTAAGGTGGAAAAGGAAGAATTTCAAGCTCCTCTGAATCCCAAAGATTCCTAGATGCCTACAATTCACTACTATATTGTTAATGCAATTTGACACAAGCACAGTTCTTGATGTTTAAATTTACTACACCACTTTTTGGTTTCTGTGTGTTTTTGTATTTTTTAGATTGTATTTGTAGTTGATAAAGAATATTAGAGGGATCTTCTTACAATCTAAAAGGATAACTCTATTTTATATATATTTAACCACCTGGGAGCACGTGTGTTATATTGTATTTTTTTGTACTAAAATCTTAAAGGACCACTATAGTGCCAGGAAAACATACTCGTTTTCCTGGCACTATAGTGCCCTGAGGGTGCCCCCACCCTCAGGGTCCCCCTCCCGCCTGGCTCTAGAAGGGGGAAAGGGGTAAAACTTACCTTTTTCCAGCGCTGGGCGGAGAGCTCTCCTCCTTCTCTCCTCCTCTTCTCCTCCCCGTCGGCTGAATGCGCACGTGCGACAAGAGCTGCGCGCGCATTCAGCCGGTCACATAGGAAAGCATTCATAATGCTTTCCTATGGACGCTTGCGTGCTCTCACTGTGAAAATCACAGTAAGAAGCACGCAAGCGCCTCTATTGGCTGTCAATGAGACAGCTGCTAGAGGAAATAGGGGAAGGCTTAACCCATTCATAAACATAGCAGTTTCTATGAAACTGCTATGTTTATGAAAAAATGGGTTAACCCTAGCTGGACCTGGCACCCAGACCACTTCATTAAGCTGAAGTGGTCTGGGTGCCTAGAGTGGTCCTTTAACACGTATGATAAAACAATATGAAACACTCACGTGATCCAGAGCTAATAAACCTAGATTTACTACACCATTTGGTTTCTGTGTGTTAAGGTTTTACACTATTTTGTATCGATTTCCCTTTTAATGTATACTCGCGGGCACACTACAAATGGTTATTTCTGCCAGTTAAGTCATCACCCTTTTGATATTTTACAATTAGCACATTTAAGCACATTGGTAGCACTTTATGAGGATATCGCACTCCACTGTTTTACATTAAATATAAACTCCAGCGCATAACATTTCATATGTTATGTTTCTTGGGGATGGTTAGAATTACATTGATGGAGATCAAACAGTATATAAGAGAAAATGATTTAATGTAATGCAATAAAGGAAGTTTTAAACATCAGAACAGGAAGTGTTTAGGAAGGCTGTGTAGGTCACATGCCGGGAGGAGTGACTAGGGCTGTTTAAATAAGGTATTTTGACTTCTAAATAGCAGAGAATTGAGCAGTGACACTCTAAGAGCATGATCTATACACTAAAACTGCTTTATTAACTTAAAGTTGTTATAGTGCTTATAGTTTACCTTTATGTAATGATCAAAATAGATCAATGTGATCATCACCAAACTCATTGACTAGCCATTTTATTTTAAGACTGAAAGGCTAACTTAACATAGACCAACAGGAAAACTAGCTCTGAGCTAACTCACTGGGCTTTCCTCCATACTATATACATTCTCCTGCAAATCAGGACAAATAGGTTGCATACACATATTGATCAGCCATAACATTAAACCCACCTGACTCATACTGTGCAGATACCCCTCGTGCTGCCAAAACTGCTCTGATGCATTGAGGCATGGACTTCACAAGACCTCTGAACATGTCCTGCATGACCTGGCACCAAGACATTAGCAGCAGGTCCTGACAGTCAGTAGAGGTACAGATTGGTGGCCAGTAGTTATTTGTCAAACAGCCATTCACACATAGTATACGTCATTGGCTAGGTGCCCTCATTGAATGCTGACCTGTTCATGTGAAGGATAGTACGACATCCACTGATTATGTTGCTGATGACTATGGAAGTTGGCAAGGAACATCCTGTCTGAGTGATTACATTAGTCACATCTATTCCACACCTTGTCAGATCTTCCAATATAAAGCTGCCAGAGGGGAGGAAAAGAGATAGAGGGGCATGCTGGGGCAATTATTGATAAATCACCAGAGTCAGAAAATACAGAGAGAACATTTCAAATTGATTGGAAACTGACTTAATGAAGGAAGGATTTAAAGAAGGAGAAAAGGGAAAGGAGGAAGTAATGGAGGAGAGAGATACGGTGAGCAAAAAGGTGGAGGAGAGAGTGAGAGCGAGGAGGAGGAGAGAGTGAGAGCGAGGAGAAGGAGAAAGTGAGAGCAAGAAGGAGGTGAGGGTGAGAGCAAGAAGGAGGTGAGGGTGAGAGCAAGAAGGAGGAGAGAGTGAGAGCAAGAAGGAGGAGGAGAGAGTGAGAGCAAGGAGGAGGAGAGAGTGAGAGCAAGAAGAAGGAGGAGAGAGTGAGAGCAAGAAGAAGGAGGAGAGAGTGAGAGCAAGAAGAAGGAGGAGAGAGTGAGAGCAAGAAGGAGGAGAGAGTGAGAGCAAGGGTGAGAGCAAGGAGGAGGAGAGGGTGAGAGCAAGGAGGAGGAGAGGGTGAGAGCAAGAAGGAGGAGAGGGTGAGAGCAAGAAGGAGGAGAGGGTGAGAGCAAGAAGGAGGAGAGAGTGAGAGCAAGGGTGAGAGCAAGGAGGAGGAGAGGGTGAGAGCAAGGAGGAGGAGAGGGTGAGAGCAAGGAGGGGGAGAGGGTGAGAGCAAGGAGGGGGAGAGAGTGAGAGCAAGGGGGAGAGAGTGAGAGCGAGGAGGAGAGCAAGAAGGAGGAGAGAATGAGAGCAAGGAGGAGGAGAGAGTGAGAGCAAGGAGGAGGAGAGAGTGAGAGCAAGAAGGAGGAGAGAGTGAGAGCAAGGAGGAGGAGAGAGTGAGAGCGAGAGCAAGGAGGAGGAGAGGGTGAGAGCAAGGAGGAGGAGAGAGAGATCGAGGAGGAGGAGAGAGTGATAGCAAGGAGGAAGAGAGGCTGAGAGCGAGGAGGAGGAGAGAGTGAGAGCGAGGAGGAGGAGAGAGTGAGAGTGAGGAGGAGGAGAGAGTGAGAGCGAGGAGGAGGAGAGGGTGAGAGCTTAGGAGGAGGAGGAGAGAGGAGAGCGGGAGGGAGGAGGAGAGGGTGGAGAGCGAGGGGAGGAGAGGGTGAGAGCGAGGGGGAGGAGAGGGTGAGAGCGAGGGGGAGGAGAGGGTGAGAGCGAGGGGGAGGAGAGGGTGAGAGCGAGGAGGAGAGAGTGAGAGCGAGGAGGAGGAGAGGGTGAAACATGCCTTCCTCTGACTGTTAAACATTTTATGAAATTCGGGAGCTATTCTACCTGAGCACACTTTGTTCGGCTCTCGAACAAGAACCCCCCCTGCATCTTGTTATACCAACCGAATACCGACCACCCCGTGGCGTGTTAACTGCAAAAATAACTAATTAATTAGTGCTTTCCCTGAGTTGCCGCCATTTCGTATAACCAAATACACGTGGTCAAAGGAATGGTGACCATTTTGGCTCCCAATACAGGGAGCAGGACATGGTCGTCGAGTGTCTGTAACCCTTTTCGAACATCACAGAAACTCTACTGCTGCCTGCTACACTCCCAGACCAGCTAGGAGAGCGCTCTTCAGGAGAAAGATACCATCGACCACGGGGAGCATTCACTCCCTGAAAGCCAGTGGGAGCCTTCACTGGTGTTCGTACAGGAACTACCGAACATTGACCGGCCGCTGCCCCATTTTCTATGGAACTGTTCTGGCTTCAACCTCGTGGCCAGCCAATCAGAACTTTACCCTGGTGGCGATTCTCTTCTACCGAACGGATCGGAGAGTTTTTTGGGCAACCTGGGTGCTCAGATCTGGGTTATCTGAGGATATAATATGTGTAGCAGACTCATTCCCTTTTGTTCGGTTGTACCCCCTTGTTCGTCTCCCAAATGGATAGTGTGTGGTCCCCTGCTTTATACCTCCCCGAACACCGACTACCCCAGGCTGTTAACCTTAATTAACACATTAACTCGAATGCTTTCACTGGGTGGCCGCTATTCGTATAACCAAGCACACGTGTTCCAATGAATGGCAGCGATTTTGTTTCCCGAACACTTGCAGCCGCAGATGGTGTGGAACGCCTGGAACTATTTTCGGCCATGGAATCTTACAAACACAAGCAAAGATTGTACCGCTGCCCATTCATCTTCCCAACCAACTAGACGAACGATGCTCAGAACTACCAATTGGTTGAGCATCTGGTACCTAAAAGTCAGGGGGAGCATTCGTCGTTGTTCGAACAGGAATGCCCGAAAGGAGACCGACTGTTGTCCTCAATTCTCCATTCTCCTCAAGTTAGGCCATCGCCTCGTGGACAACCGCTCATAACTTTACCCAAATGGCAATTCCGTTCTACTGAACGGATCAGACCGATATTTGGATATGTTGTGCGCTCAGATCCATGCTATTCGGATATAAAACTTGTGGGGGTCCTGCAAAATATGCCTATGTTTTTATTTATTTATGTTTCCTGTAACTGAGAGATAACTGAGTTACTCAGTTTTCATACAATTATCTTTTAGACAATGGGTCGCCTGGGAGGGGCTTGTGTATATTTTGTATGGAGACCCCATGCTAGCTGTGTTTGAGCTGAATAAACCAGTTCTACTCCCAGAACTCTATGCTGAGGAGGATCGAGCGGGTGAGAGTGAGGAGGATAAGGCAAGTGAGAGCGAGAAGGATCGAGCGAGTGAGAGCAATGAGGATCGAGCATAGGAGGATCGAGCGAGTGACAGCAAGGAGGGTCGAGCGAAGGAGGATTGTGTCAAGGAGGATCAAGCAAAGGAGGATCGAGAGAGTGAGAGCAAGGGAGGATCAAGCGAGAAGGAGGAGTCAAGAAAGTGAAAAGGGAGTGATAGTAAGAAAGGAGGAGCCAGACATAGTGATGGAGTAGGAAGACACAGAGTGCAGTTTTATAATATTTATTATATTATTAGGATAGAATTAATAACAGGGAAAATATGAGTTCTCAAATATATGTTAATGGTTTGAGATGGATAAAAACAAACACATTTATGGCTCAGAAAATTAGATAATAACTCAAAAAAATAAAATGGATTTGGGAGTGGGTTACTATATTCCTTCAATGAGCAAGCCTGATCGTCTGCAAAGCCTGATTCCCCAACTTGCAAACCCATTCCTTCAGTGAGCAGGCCTGATCGTCTGCAAAGCCTGATTCCCCAACTTTGCAAGCCCATTCCTTCAGTGAGCAAGCCTGATCGTCTGCAAAGCCTGATTCCCCAACTTGCAAACCCATTCCTTCAGTGAGCAAGCCTGATCGTCTGCAAAGCCTGATTCCCCAACTTTGCAAACCCATTCCTTCAGTGAGCAAGCCTGATCGTCTGTAAAGCCTGATTCCCCAACTTTGCAAGCCCATTCCTTCAGTAAGCAAGCCTGATCGTCTGCAAAGCCTGATTCCCCAACTTTGCAAGCCTGATGCCCACCCTCTGCCTCACACCATCCCACCCCATGCTCATTATTACATTTATAGATTGTCTGTCACACCTATATTTTACTTTGGTTAAACACTCCTGCACTTTCTTTACCCATAAAACATAATATCTTTCCTACCTTCACCTGCTCTTGATATTCCAATTATTTCCAATTTTTATTTTTCACAGTTTAGCAATGATCTGTTTTCTCCTCCTCTTTATTTCCTCAGTCTCCCTCAGTATAAAAATCTCTCCTTACACCCACTTCACTCATCCCCCCATCCACATTTACATATGCCCTTCTCTGCTACACTCCCCCCTTCTCTCATCTCATGCCTTATTTTTCTACTCTCTCACTCCAACCCACAATCGATCTCATCCTAGACCCCATGCATACAAAACCCATTCACACCTCCTGTCACTTTCTCTCCTCCTACTTCTAGCAGCTGGTGATGTCTCTCCCAATCCAGGGCCCTTCACCTTCTCTACACACACTAAGACAACCAGAAACCCCACAAACCTCATCACAATACCCTGCCCTTTACCCTCACTTACCAAAATTAATTGTGCACTTTTGAATGCCCGCTCCATCTGCAGTAATTTAAAATCAACAACCATACACGACTTTTCAATCTCAAACTTACTCAAATTGCTTGCACTTACAGAGACCTGGCTGTCCCTCTCTGATAGCGCTACTCCTGCCTCTTTATGTTTTGGTGGGCTACAATTCTCTCACACTCCCAGACTCAACTGTAAAGGAGACGGCGTAGGCATCCTTCTCTCCCCTCAATGTACCTTTCAACCAATCACAACTCCCTCTGCCCTATCCTTTTCTTCTTTTGAAGTTCACACTGTCCGCCTATTTAAACCCACTCCTTTAAGAATTGCTATCATCTACCGCCCCCCTGGTTATCATAGACTATTCATTGAGCACTTTTATTCTTGGCTTCCCTACTTCCTCTCATCTAGCACTCCTTCCCTTATACTTGGGGATTTCAATATCCCAATCAATAACCCCAATTGCACTGATGCCTCTCATCTGCTCTCTGTAACCTCCTCCTTTGGTCCTTTGGTCCAATTTAGCAACCCATACAGCAGGAAACACTTTTGATCTTGCCTTCCCCAACCTCTGTACTGCCTCTAATCTCTCCAATATTCATTTTCCTCTATCTGACCACCATCTGCTGACTTTTGACATTGGCATACCTAAGACCCAATTGACACCACCGTCTGAACATCACTCTCATAGAAACCTCCAATGTCTTGACCTAAAGCATTTCTCCACTAATCTCCAAGCTCTCCTTTTACCTATCTCAAACCTCACCTGTCCTAGTTCTGCAACCTCCTTCTACAATTCCACCCTCTCCTCTCAACTGGACATCATGGCACCTTGTACATTTAAATGCCGCAGGCCCCCCCCAACAACAACCCTGGCACACCAAGCTCACTCGATACCTCCAAAACTGCTGAACGCTGTTGGAGAAAGTCTCACTGTGCATCTGACTTTCTCCACTATAAATGTATGCTGAGCTCATACAGCTTGGCTCTTTCCTCTGCAACAGTTAATTACTTCAATACCCTTATAACCACTCTCCCCCGCGAACCCAAACGACTATTTCACACATTTAACTCTCTTCTTCGCCCTGCTGTTTCTCCTCCACCTACTAACTTGACCACCTCAGACTTTGCAACTGACTTCACTGACAAGATCTCTACAATCAGAGAAGAGATCTCTCATCTTTCTTCTTCCCCTTACAATACTTCCCCTAACTTCACTCCCCCTGCTGTTCTATGTTCATTCGCACCCGCTACAATGGAAGAGGTTTCTGCTCTGCTCCAGTCCTGCCGCCCCACCACCTGCTCCCTAGATCCAATTCCCTCGCATCTCATCTGTACTCTGTCTTCTTTTTCTCCACCTCTCACTAAAATTCTCAATCTCTCTCCCCCCTCTGGTATATTTCCATTGCCCTTCAAACATGCAACTGTAACTCCAATTCTAAAGAAGCCCAATCTTGACCCTAACTCCCAATCCAACTATCGTCCTATCTCGCTACTGCCTTTTGCATCCAAGATCCTTGAAAAAAATTGAGTATGCGAGATTGACAGACTTCCTCGAGTCCAACTCTCTGCTAGACCCGCTTCAGTCTGGTTTCCGCGCTAAGCACTCTGTGGAAACGGCACTGACCAAAGTATCCAATGATCTACTCGCTGCAAAATCTTGCGGTCACTACTCTATCCTAATTCTCCTTGACCTGTCTGCGGCTTTTGACACTGTTGATCATCAACAGCTTCTTCTCATCCTCCGCAATATCGGTCTACAAGATATTGCTCTCTCCTGGTGCTCCTCCTACCTCTACCAGCGCTCTTTCAGTGTTTCTTTCTCTAGCTCTGCTTTTTCTCCCCAACTCCTCTCTGTTGGTGTCCCCCATGGTTCAGTCCTTGGTCCCCTACTGTTTTCCATCTATACTGCCTCCCTTGGTAAACTCATTAGCTCCTTTAGCTTCCAATATCATTTCTATACAGATGACACGCAAATCTACCTGTCGTCTCCTGATCTCTCCCCGTCCCTCTTGACTAGCGTCTCTGACTGCCTCTCTGCTGTTTCTAACTGGATGGCTGCCCACTTCCTTAAACTGAACTTGAAAGGTGAACAGCGCTAAAAATCAGAAAATGTACATAAGTTTTGTAGAAATACTGGCCAGCAGAGTATTTTGTCCTCCTTCCTATCCAATACTGCTTTGCTGCTATACCTGGGTCCACTATATCCCAAGGTGGGGATTATTCCACCTGAAATTCTCCAAACTAGAGCAGGTCGTTGCTCTAGTATATGTAAGTAGGATCATCCACTTTTTTTTTTCACAATATTTTATATTTACGTACTATACCATGTGGTGTATTTTACTCTTGTTTTTCATGTAACGAATATTTACACCTATAAATTCACCAACGGTCTTGAACCTCAAGAAATCCATAGACGGGGATTATTCCGTCCAGGCTCTTAACACCAAGCTGATATAGCTCCTCAAAGTGTGAGTGTGAATATGACACCTTTGTTCTTGTGGAATTATATCGTTCATACATACTGTACCATTATTAGTATTTTTGTTTCTCTTTTTTTTTTAAGCTACTCTGCTGGCCAGTATTTCTACAAAACGTATGTACATTTTCTGATTTTTAGCGCTGTTCACCTTTCTATTTTATCTGTCCATTTATCACAAGGTAGAGAAACACCTTGTTGGTGAACTGCTGCTCACCCCTGAGAAGAGAGCGCTTATTATTCTTTTGCACTTAAACTGAACTTGCCCAAAACTGAAATTCTGGTCAACGGTGCTACCATCAGCTCCACCACACAGGCTCGCTGCCTAGGTGTTCTCTTTGACGCCGACCTCTCCTTCAAGCCTCAGGTTGAATCTATCACCAAATCCTGTCATTTCCATCTCAAAAACATTGTGCACATCCGCCCCTACTTAACGCCAGATGCGACTAAGGTGTTGGTCCATTCCACTGTCCTTTCTCGCCTTGATTACTGTAATCCGCTTCTCAGTGGTCTTACGTGCTCCCAACTTGCGCCATTACAGTCCATAATGAATGCGGCGGCAAGGCTCATCTTCTTGCCCGCCCGCACCTCCCATGCCTCACCCTTCTGTCAGTCCCTACATTGGCTTCCTATAAAATATAGAGCTCAATTTCAAATTCTGGTTCTTGCTTTCAAATCTCTACATAATGCTGCTCCCACCTATCTATCCTCCCTTATACACAAGTATGTCCTGTCTAGGCCCTTACGATCTGCTGAAGACTTACGTCTATCTTCTGTCCATACTCACACCTCTGATGCTCGGCTTCAAGATTTCTCGAGGGCTGCACCGTTCCTGTGGAACTCGCTTCCCTCCTCCATTAGATGCTCACCCAGTCTCCATTACTTCAAAAAATCGTTAAAAACCCACTTCTTCATAAAAGCGTATCAATTGTCGAATACTATCCTTACCATTTTGTGGCATTTTACCCCACTCCCTCTAGCATGTAAGCTCATTGAGCAGGGCCCTCAACCCCTCTGTTCCTGTGTGTCCAACTTGTCTGGTTACAACTACATGTCTGTTCGTCCACCCATTGTAAAGCGCTGCGGAATTTGACGGCGCTCTATAAATATCATAATAATAATAATAATTGAAAAACAGATGTTATTGTAAAATTGGGGTGAAGGGGGCATATATGCTTACATCCAGCTTCATCCAGTTACAAATCCATTGAGTTCTAATCGGTTACTAGAACATTCACTGTATCACCAAAACTACTTGCTCTGCTATTAATACTCTATATCCTCCATTACTTTATTATTACTCTCAATAGACAGTTACAGTATCACTATATATATATATATATATACTCTGTATCCCCATTATTTTATTATTACTCTCATTAGACGCTTACTGTATCACTATTAATACTCTATACCCCTATTACTTTATTATTACTCTCATTAGACAGTTACTGTATCACTCTTAATACGCTATACCCCCGATTGCTTTATTATTACCCTCATTATATGGTTACTGTATCACTAATAATACTCTATACCCCCATTATGTTATTATTACTCTCATTAGACTTTAACTGTATCACTAATAATACTCTATACCCCCATTATGTTATTATTACTCTCATTAGACGCTTACTGTATCACTATTAATACTCTATACCCCTATTACTTTATTATTACTCTCATTAGACAGTTACTGTATCACTCTTAATACTCTATACCCCCGATTGCTTTATTATTACCCTCATTATATGGTTACTGTATCACTATTAATACTCTATACCCCCATTCTGTTATTATTACTCTCATTATATGGTTACTCTATCACTATTAATACTCTATACCCCCATTACGTTATTATTACTCTCATTAGATGGTTACTGTATCACTATTAATACGCTATACCCCCATTTTTTTTATTACTCTCAATAGACGCTTACTCTATCACTATTAATACTCTATACCCCCATTCCGTTATTATTACTCTCATTATATGGTTACTCTATCACTATTAATACTCTATACCCCCGATTGCTTTATTAGTTCAATACTCACTCAGCGATGTGACCGGGAGCCAGGGAACCCATGAAAGCACATGGTGCCCCAAGTAATGCGAGCACTGTACAGGAATTGGAAGCATTTCCCCCTCTCTGCCAACGCTGAGATAGGCACCTGTAAAACACACCATACAAAGGTCACTGGATGCATGCTCACCTGCTGATGTTGTGACACGGACATTGTCACAGGAATGTAAAGCTGCTCTGCAAAATAAGGTTGTGTGTACAAAGGAACTTACAGAATTGATTTAATCTGTCCTTTTAACTAGCTGCTCAAACACAGGTTATATGTGGCTTTAAAAAGCAGAGCGCCTAAAAATAATCAAATTAAAGCACAATACCACTTGCTAAGGTAAAATAGTGTAGAGTGATTATTATATATCACACGTGTATGCAAGTCCAATTAAAAACAAAAATATATATCTACTCAGTGAAAAGTCTTATTCTCACAAATAAAGTGCAATTCAGTGAAATCTATATAACAAGCAATAGTGTAGTATGACAAAAAGGTGTATACATACATTTAAAGGGACACTATAGTCCCCAGAACAACTACAGCTTACTGCATTTGTTCTGTTGAGTAAAATCATTCCCTTCAGGCTTTTTGCAGTAAACACTGTCTTTTCAGAGAAAATGCAGTGTTTACATTACAGCCTAGTGATACCTCCACTCCGTGGCGGCTCTAGACTTGGCGAGGCCTTAGGCGAAACTCATACATGAGGCCCCCACTAACACCATTATTGGAAAAAAACAGCAGTTGACTTGTGTGTGTATAAGAAGCTGTAGATATATTGAAGGGCAGGCTTGCAGTACTGGATATAGAGAACTAGTCTTTATATACGTCGTTGCATTGTCTACCTGTGTGTGCCTGAGAGTGTGTGTCTGGCAGTGAGTATCTTTGTATATGTATGCATGTTTCTCTGAGCATGTGTATGTTTGTGTTACTGCCTGTGGCCTTTGGCATTAAGTTCATGGCGAAGCTATGTTTTATGACAGTGTGTAGAATGATTGCCTTCAGGGGGTGACAGGGTGAGTAAAGGAGTAACTGTGGCAGGGTGATTGTAAAAAGAGCAGGAGGGTGCCAGAGTGCGGAGAGTGGTGCCCGTGTGTTTAGAGGGAGAGATAGTGTGTATGGAGGGGGGTGACAGTGTGTATGGAGGGGGGTGACAGTGTGTGCGGAGAGAGGTGACAGAGTGTGTGGGGGTGACATAGTGTAGGGAGGTGGCATAGTATGGGGGGTGACAGAGTAAGAAGGGGGTGACAGTATGAGAGGGTTACATTAGTGTAAGGGGTGTAACAGAGTAAGAGGGGAGTGACAGTGTGAGGGGGTGACATTCGTGTAAGGGGTGTGACAGAGTAAGAGGGAAGAGACAGAGGGGGGAGACCTAGTGTGAGGGAGGGTGACATAGTGTGGGGGGGTGACAGGGTGAGAGGGGGGTGACAGAGTGAGAGGAGGTGACAGTATTAGGGGGTGACAGTGTGAGGTGGGGTGATGGTGTGTGGGGAGTGACAGGGTAAGGTGACAGAGTAAGGGGCGGTAACAGTGTGGGGGTCACAGGGTGGGTGACACAGTAAGAGGTGGGGTGATAGAGTGAGGGGGTGACAGGTGGGGTGGCAGGGTTACAGGTGGGGTGGCAGGGTGAGTGACAGGGTCAAATGTGGGGTGAGAGGGGAGGCAGGGTGAGGGGGTGACAGGTGGGGTGACAGTGTGATGTGGGGTGACAGTGTGTAGGGAGTGACAGGGTGAGGTGAGAGTAAGGGAGGTGACAGTGTGGGAGTCACAGGGTGGGTGACAGTAAGAGGTGGGGTGACAGGTTGAGGGGGTGACAGGGTGAGAGGTGGGGTGAGGGGGGTGACAGGTGGGGTGGCAGGGTGAGATGTGGGGTGAGGGGAGGTGACTGGGTGAGAAGGGGTGGCAGGCTGAGGGGGTGACAGGTGGGGTGGCAGGCTGAGAGGGGGTGGCAGAGTGAGAGGGAGTG